TTGCTACTCCATTCTTCGTCTTTCTTCTTCTTNTTAGCCGCCACTGGCTAGTCAACCTCTGCAAGAGAGTCGTCATCACCGACCTCAGCGTCGGAANGAAGTGANCTAAAAGTGGAGGAAAAGTCTGACGACAGAGCGGCATCGGTTTCACCAGCTGAAGCCGCGGGTCCTCATCATTGAAAGGAAAAGAGAGTCTAACACCCCCACCTCTGTCCATAAGGTCCTCATCACCGCTAAATCTCCTCTCCTCTTCAATGTCTGCCAAGTCATCAAAAACGTCATCGCCGCTATCGTTGGGTCCGCCGAGACAACACCGTGATACAGCAAGCTTGCTACGGTGACGAGTCCCTACATCAACGCTCTCATGACGCGTCGTCGCACCCTTTGTTGCCATTGGAGATGCCGAGCTCGCCATCGGATCCACTTGCGAAGCACGCTGCGAGAGCGTGGTCGGATCCACCGGCGAAGCGGGTCACNAGCACGACCTCGGATCCACCGGTGAAGCTGATGGCGAGGTCGTGATCAGATCCACCGGCGAATCGATGCAGGGCGAGGACGTGCTCGGGGCGAAGACGCGCTNGGGGNGAGGACNTGCTCGGGGCGATGTATTGNGANGANATGGTCGGGTCGATGTTGTGCGACGATGTGGTCGGATCCACCTGCNNNGCAGGTTGCGACGANGTGGTCNNATCCACCTNCGAAGCACGCTGCGAANACGCCCTCGGCGCCTCGTCGTGGAGCAAGGATGTTACCGGCTCCTCGCCAAGAGGAGAAGACGTCTGCGGGTCCGATTCATGACAAGGAGGGAGTGTCAAGCTCTCGGCGCCTCGNGCGANAGNCANGGATTCTCCAATCCGGTCCGCCGGAGCCGTCGGGTCACCGGAGTCCCCGAGTTGGACCTCCTTGACCGAACCCATTGCTTGCTTCCTTCGAAAATTATTTCTCATCGCCAAAGACGTTATTAACGTCGACACGGAGTCTTAAAACCTCCATAGGAAACACGAAGTCTTAAAACCTTCGGAAAAAAAAAAAAAAATCTTCTTTCTGCAGTAATGCAGCAGCTTCAGCAAACGAAGCATAGAGTCTTAAAACCTCCAGCCTGGAATTACCCTCTACTGCTGTAAGAGAGGTTAAGCTAACATCTTGACTTTAAACGGTAACGCTGATATCCAGTACATCTTTANCTCGATACTATTATCTCTAACACTACCGAGCTGGGGGGCTAACTNTTGGGGTCGGTTTTCACCCGCTCAACATTAACGTTCAAAGTCAGACAACTGAAAAAGTGACCCTCCGGACTCTCGACGAACAAGGCGGAATAGCACCTAAGTCTTCCCGCGAAGCAAAGCAAGTAATCGTGCGGTAAGTCTAGGCAAAGCAGGAAGCGTCGGGGCAAGGCGGGAGACCACGTCCTCGGGTCGACCGAGGAGCCGACCACGGCCTCGGAGCCGACCACGGCCTCGGTGCCGACCACGGCCTCGGAGCCGACCATGGCCTCGGAGCCGACCACGGCCTCGGAGCCGACCACGGCCTCAAACCCTCGAGGATTCGACCGTGTCCTCGGATCTTTGACGGGCCGACCACATTCTCGGCCCAGCAGTCCAATGACATGAAGACGACCCGATGACACAAAGACAGTCCGAAGCCCGGTCCAGACGCGAAGCCCACTTTGATGCAACCGACCTTGGCAAGGAATGGATCCGCGAAGACTTAGGAAGTTTAGCCGCCTTAGAGATAGTATATATACTTGATGTAAAAGCCCTTGAGAAGGCATTCACAATCTTGTTCCCAAAATCTTACAGAGCAATAACAAACAACTTTTTCATACCTTTGTGATCTTAGCTAACCCTAGAAATCTCTACCTCTTCACGAAACCCTAACAAATCTAGTTGTGTTGGTTTTGGCCTCCACACCGTGTAGCGGCTAACTGTGCATGTTGCCTATTAATGTGCAAGTCATACTATTTAGGAGGCAAAACGTAAGTACACAGGCACATGTTATGTGTGTACACATCTGAATTTGTAGAAATCAGAATAAAAAATACAAGTACACATAATAAATATATTACAGATGTACAAGTTAAAGCGAACTTACAATGCTAGAAACAAACTCGTGTTTTTTGATGAGTTGAGAGAAAAAAATCTTATCAACTTTAAATCCAGAAGATAGCAAGAAAGTCCTGCATGGCAAATAGCACAATATTAATGATCAGTTGAAAGGAAAAATACATAAATAGAGAATTCTTACTTATGGTTCAATGTTAAGTTCAACTCTTTTCATGATGCGACTAATATCAGTTTTCTTCAGTTTCCCGAATGGGTCGTACAGGTACTTGGGCTTCACAAGAGATTTAGCCTTTGCCGTCGGGTTACGATTCTTGCCATCTCTACGGACTGCACACGGCTGGCCATTAGGTGCCTCACCTCCGTCCACGGCAACACCCTAATATATGGTTATTATTTATAATTGGTGTAAAGAGTAAAAAAGACAGAAGCATTGAATACCTTCTCGGAGTCTGAGCTCTCCAATTCTTCGTCACCATACACTTCATCTACAACACCTCCACCATCTTTGCCGCTTTCAATCAGTGCCTCCTATAGTACATGTCCAACAATTATCAATACAATACTAAAAAAAAACTAGAGATATACAATATGTCTACTCATACAAGTGTACATACATCACCATCGCCAACATGTCCATTACTTACTATAACGTCCTCCTTATCAACAGGGGTGGCCGGTACAACTTTTCTTGTACACTCTACCAAACTAGATAGACCTTCAGGTGCATGGACATCAGATAATGGGCATTCCATGTTGTTAGTGTCCTCACCTAGATCCTTGACCGTACACTCATCCTGTGTTTCCCAAAAATAAGAGGAAAAACTCAAATTCCCTTTCCAAAAACAAAGAAACTCTAGGCACAGAACAATTAGATTAATAAACATCTACCTGCTCATTGGCACTATCATGCTCCAAATTATGCACAGACCTAAGCACACTCTAAACACCATCATAATCATCAAATTTCACGTCTTCTCCTTTCACCGTGGAATCTGATTTGTCACCCGACGTTTTAGATTGTGGACTACTCCCACCATTACAATCATTGCCTTCTACAACTGTTACCTTTGCTCGAAGTCTCTTCTATCTTGATCGCCGGTTAACAAGCCTACGAGCCAATGTTGGTTCTATAGGCCTCAGAGCCTCTATCACAGCAGCAAACTTAATTTCTAGAAAATCTTTCATCTCCTTAACAGCTTCAAAAATCATCACACCAACAGAATTGGCTTCTCCTTTATCACAGCAGCAAACTTAATTTCTAGAAAATCGACTTCATCGCCGGACTCCCCGTGTATTTGATCTAAACCAGATATAGTCTCGTAGGTAAGTAGTTGAATCGATAAAGGGAATCCATGCATGGCTACGGAAGATTGTTTTAGCCTCCCAAACAACGTTATGAGGGATCCGTCAGACTTATCTTTAACAATTTCATGAAGAGTATGCTTGAATACATGACGACCCCAAGGATACTCAAGGAAAAAGTCAATATCCTGACATATTTCAACAACGTTCTCATTCACCAAACTGAGTTGGAAGTTAACGACGACTACTCCCTCCACAATAACAATTAAGGCGACACTGATTTTCTTCAATGACGGCCAATCAGGGTTTTTCTTCAACATCTGGACAAGATCTGGGACTTTCACAGGCCGCCGATTCCCAACAAGTTCCGTCATGTACTTAGATGCAATACCTTCCGTGTTTTGGCGTTCCTTAAGGATGGCTTCATCTAGCATCCAG